TTTATGGTTTTTAAAAAAGGTGAGGAAGAAGGTACTGGGATAAAAAGATATGTAACGTATAGAAATGGAACAAAACTTGAGATTAAAGTGGCTAAGGAGTGTTGAAAGAAGCTTCAGTCAAGTTTTAGCAAGGTTTTTGAAAGCTCACTAGAAGAAGTATAATTTGAAAAGAAGTGTGGAACCAGACCATGGAAGGAGATGCCTTATGCTGTAGAATGAGTGAGTAGCATAAACGGTTAAATATTTTAGCTATGTTTAGAAATAATAAAAATAAGCTATGGGATCTCTGGAGAGGATGTAGAGAAGTCCTATCATTAAAATTAATATTAACAAGGATGACATTTGAAAGAATAGTTGTCCTCATTTTAAAACCCAGAGTTTCAATTTTTCATTTTGTTTAACAAACATTTTAACATCTAATTTACAAAACCCCTAAATTTGACTAAGTTCTGCCACTGTTACATATCACATTTAAGAGTAAGTGTCCTTATCTTTGTTCTTTAGCATGAAATATCCTTTATCTGACTTGGATCCAAATGCAGCTCTCACCTATCTTCAATTTGCCTATATACCCCAGGTTAGGATCTGCAAAAAAACACAGTTATTCCTCATGACAACACAGTGCAGTGGGTAGCATTACTGTCTCTGAGCCAGAAGGGCCAAGTTCAATTCCCACTGCAGGATTTATGGCCAAGTAAAGTCTATTCATAATACAGACAAGTGGTTGATCATCAGTGTAAGTAAGTGTGGCATCAAGGAGCCCTAGCAAAACTGGAATCTATGGGTATGAGGGGGCAAATTCCCCACCGGTTGAAGTCATACCTGGTACATAGAAGATAGTTGTGGTTGTTATAGGTCAGTCATCTCAGTTCCAGGACATCTCTGCAAGAGTTCCTCAGGGTAGTGTACCAGACCCATCTATCTTCAGGTGCTTCATCAATGACCTTCCCTCCATCATAAGATCAGAAGTGGGGATGTTCACTGATGATCGCATAATGTTCAACACCATTTACAATTCCTCTGATACTGAAGCAGTCCATCTTCAAAAGAAATGAGATCTGGATAATATCCAGGCTTGGGCTGACAAGTAGCAAGTAACATTCACACCACACTAATGCCAGGCAATGACTATCACCGATAAGAGACAATCTAACCAGTATCCCTTGACAGTCAATGGTGTGACCATCACTGAATCTTTGACTATAATCATCTTTGGGGTTGCCATTGACCAGAAACCCAACTGGACTCACCACATAAACACAGCGGCTCCAAGAGTAGGTCAGAGGCTAGGAATACTGTGGTGAATAATTTACGACCTGACTCCTCAATCCGTCCATCATCTACAAGGCACAAGTCAGGAGTGTGATGGAATACTCCAGACTTGCTGGATGGGTGTAGCTCTGCAACACTCAAGCAGCTTGACACCATCCAGGACAACGCAGCATGTTTGATTGGCAACACATCCACAAACATCGACACCCTCCAACGCCCCTCGCTCAGTAGCAGCATTGTTTACGATCTACAAAATGCACTGCAGAAGTTCACCAAAAACCCTTAGACAACACCTCCCAAACCCACAGCCAGTTCTATCCAGAGGGACAAAGGCAGCAGATACATGGGAACACCATGAACTACAAGTTCTGTCCAAGTCACCCACCATCCTGACTTTGAAATATATCGCCATTCCTTCATTATCGCTGTGTCAGAGTCTTGGAATTCCCTTCCTAAGGGCATTGTGGGTCAACCCACAGCATGTGGACTGCAGCAGATCAAGCAGGCAGGTCATCGCTGCCTCAAGGGCAACTGGGAATGCCCATGTCCTGTGTATGACTTGGGGAAAAAAAAGAGCTGGGGAGATGCCCATACTAACCATGCGATTAAGAAATTACTTCCATGCTTTCATGTTCACTATTTAAGTTTTGAGAACACATTGTATGAATTCTTACATGAAACTTTGAGAAATGTTTGGCTTGGAATGGATGTAGCAATAATTATTATATTTGTGGTTTGAGGAAAGGCATACAAATTGAGATTTTTCTTTCTGAAAATGTTGGTTAAGTGATAATCTTCTGGAGAGCTGTAAAAAGTTGGTCAGTTGATTGACAAGCAGCAAATTGGAGTGCTAGACTACAGGTAATCACTAGTCAGACAAAAGCAATTAGAACTTTTTCCTCCCTGGAAACTTAGAATAACATAGTCTCTGCTTGTCATCAGTATTCTGTAATGCAAAATGAAGCTGAATAATTTGAAAAGAAAGAATTAAATGAATATTTATGAGAGAAAGGCAGATGAAATTAGAATTCCGCATTCAGAGGAAAAAGAGCTGAACTCAAGAGTTGAGGTGAGAATGATAACTCTGAACATCAAGACAGCATTTGACTGAGTGTAGTATCAAGGAACTGTAGCAAAACTGGAGTCAAAGAGAATTAAGGAAAACTCTCCACTCATTTGAGTCATACATAGCACAAAGGAAGATGATTATGATTATTGGAAGCCAGTCATCTCAGTTACAGGACATCACTGCAGGAGTTCCTCAAAGTGGTAACCTAGGTCTTATTGCTTCATCAATGACATTTCTTGCATCATAAGGTTGCAAAGGGAGTTGTTCACTACTGGTTTACCCCATTTGTGACCTCCTCAGATCCTGAAGCATTCCGTGTCCATACACAGCAAGATGTGGGCAGCCTACAGGCATGGTCTGTTAAGTGGCAAAAAATATTCATGTCATACAAGTGGCAGGCAATGGGCGTCTCCAATAATAGGGATTTTAACCATATCTCTTTAAAATTCAACATCATTAGCATCGCTGAATTTTCTAGTACCAACATCCTGTGTGTTACCATAGACTATGAACTGGACTGGACAAACTACATAAAATCTTGTGGCTACAAAAATGGGTCAGAGGTTGGGAATTCCTTGGCAAGCACCTTTTTCACCTCCTGACTCTCCAAAGCTGTTCACCATCGACAAGGTGCACGTGTGATAGAATGTTCGCTACTTTCTGGGATGGATGCATTATGTATTGATAATGTCATTTTGAACAGGTATATCTGAGAGAGGTAGATTGGTGAAGATTGTAACAAGTATACTTTTCCCTTTTTCTTGTTCCCTCAATTCCTACTGCAAGTCCAGTTTAACAGTTGTGTCGAATAAGAATTGTGCCAGCTTGGTCAATAGTGGAGCTATTGAGCTGCTCTTGGTGATGTACATTGTAGCCTTCATAGTGCAGCATATGTTCTGTGTGCCTGAAGTGTTTTAGCCTGTTAGTGTTCTACATGGAGGAGTATGGATCAGCAGCTGAGATAGACAGTATTAGGTGTAATTCAGCAGGAGGATTCCTCGTTCATGTTTAACCTGGTGCCATGAGACATCATGTGGTCTGGACACAATCCTGAAGTTCCCAGAGCAATGCCCCCCCCACCACCCCCACCACCCCAACACACACACACACACACACACACACAGACAGTGGACCACTGTGCCACCTCCTGGATTGTGTTGTCCAGGTGGTTCATCATGGCATACTTAAGCATGGTGGTACCTGGAACATTATTAATATATATGATTTGGTGAGCATGTCTAAATCATAGCTAGTCTGCGAGGTATCTCTTCTAATTTTGGCACAAGCTCTTGCATGTTGATGAGGGGGACTTTTCAAGGTCAACAGGACTCACTGTGTCACTGTTGATGGCACCCTGTCCTTTGATATTACAGTTTTAGAATCCTTTATCTTAAAATCTGGAACCAACTGTTTTTCCAATAAAGAGATTTTTTGTTTTTTCGGATGTGATAGGATACTCTTACTCTATAGTTTGGGTCTGTTTGGGCCCTTTGGGTAAAAAAAAAACTTTGTTTGGCCTGAATGACCCTGAAAGCAAAGTTCTTTTCCAAAATGCCTGAACTAAGTGCGTCTACCTGTCTATTCAGGTCAGCTCTCAAAAAGACCTTTGGTTTTTAGGTTTCTTTCGGTTTTCAGATGTGTGCATAAAAGATGCTCAACATTTACATTCACCCTTTGTTGTGTCTTTGATGTCAGTTTCCCTCTGACATCATGATAAAAATTCCAACAAGAGTTACTTGTTAAGAATTGCATATCGGAATGTAGTCAGTTTTGCCACCAGCCTTCCCTGCGACATTGTCTATGTGTCACAACAGCCGGTGGTCAAATCCAAGACAACCACTTGCGTCATGAGGACATGGTTGGATGTCGATTTCCCTGCCTAAGATTGATACTGAAAGTAGATGGGAACCAAGTGCAAAGCTTTATCTTCACAAGATGTAAATAATGGGCTGACACTTTTCAATTTACTCCAGTTGATTAGTTCAATGATATTTACAGAGCAGGGTGTTGACTACGTGTAGAAAGAGACTACTTAGCCCATTGTGCTTGTGCCAGGTCTTTGAAAGAGATATAGAACTAGTCCCAGTGCCACAAAAGAGGCAAAGAGCATTAGTGGTGGCCAATTAGCTATTAGTTCATAAATTTCATTTTTTGGTATTCTTGCATTTTTAAGTCATTGACATCAATTACTGTTTATGTCACTGGGATGGAAATGCTTGTTGGATTCTTTCCAAGTAGTTAATTTGTATAACGTAATTTTGACCTTGAAATAATTATGCTTATTTCATAGTATTTAGATTCTTATATTAGCTCTTCCTTTTCAAAATGTCAGTGGTAAAATTAATGAGAGGGGCAATATTGTTTAAGTTTTAACTCCTGAATCAGATTTTAATTCTTACTCTAAAACTACTTGAACACAATTATTTTCAAAAGTATGTACATGCAACATCTGTCAAGGATAGCTGTTTTATGGCACAAATTCTGTTTTTCTTTCTTTTTGAGCCATTTGTGTTAAAGCCTGAATAGTGGTGGTATTTAGACTGAGATCTCCGTTTCATTTTGTAGTGCAAGACCACACCAGAGGGAGCACCTTGGTCAGCCTGATGCAAAGGTTGAGACCCTCCAGCAGACTATTCCCAGCAATGAAAGTGCAAGAAGAATGCAGAATCAAGGTTGTTCAACACAGCAAAACCCGCAACAAGAACAAAGGAGGAATCTCCAAGCTGACACAAGTACAAAACGAGGAGAAAGGTCCCATTCTGCATCCCCAGACAAGGGCAGTGCTCCAACTTCTCCTTATTCAGTACCACAGATAGCTCCGTTGCCCAGCAGTACTCTATGTCCTATTTGTGCAACAACCGAGCTGAACTCTTATCCAAAACAGCCAAACTTCAACACTTGTACTCAATGTCGATCGGTAGTGTGCAAGCAGTGTGGATTTAATCCTAATCCTCACATTACAGAGGTAAACTTTTATTCCTTCTCTGAACTTGTACCATTTTTACAAGAGGATTTAAGATGGCTCATTTGCTTATTTAATTTCTTGATTAGAATAGTTATGAAAAGGGATATTTAAACCTGATTCATCTCGTAGCATTTTCAGGTCGTAAGAGTGCTCGATATCCTATAATTTTTCCATACTTTTGAACAAAAGAAATTGAGGTCAGAAGAGAAAATGTTCCTGTACTGATGATTGTGTTATGCAGGTTGATAGTTTAGCAGTATTTAAAATTGAACTCAGTCAGAATTTGAGAAGGAAGAATTCAAGGGAATGCAGGAAAAATAAACAAAAGCTGAAGTTGAAGGTTCAGTGAGGATCTAGCTGAGGTATGATAGTCTTATCTAGTGCTGTTTGTATGATTCTATACTATATGCAAGAAGAGAATTTTATTGCTTTTAGTAGGAAGTATATTTGATTTATTAATCACTGAAACCTTGGGATCATTTTTACAATAATTACTTTAGATTGAAAAGAACTGTCTAACCAGTAATATGGAATAATACAGGGATGCTTCTTTAAGTTACCTGAAGAAAAACTTATTAATGCAGTCAGGTTCAAGAAATTAGACAATGTACATTCCTCTGCCAGACTTGACAAATTTGGTTTGTACATCATGTATGTTTAGGTAAGTATTATTTTACCTTCTGTCACAAAAGTTGTTGAATATTTGTGGATATTGTGCCTGGTCTTCAAAAGGTAAGAAGGTTGAATTCTAGGTGCTCTAATTGTTGTATTTCTGAAAGGTTTTATTGTTTCATCTATAACATGCAATAAAAATCAAATCTGCTGTTCATCAAAGGTAAAACTATAATTATTCTGTGTCTTTTTCCCTGGTTTTAACTTCAACACTGTGCTGTATATGAGACCATCCTGACACGTAAGCCCTCAAAATTCCTTCTGTATATCTGTGTATCTCCTTCGTTGGACATTGACAAAAAAAAAGTACAACTGGTAATTCATTTCTTGCTGCCTAACAGATTTTTGATACATACAAAATAGCAATCACATTTGCCCCCATGAAGTTCATGTGAAGTGCTTTGGTATTTTTCTAATGTATGATGAGACACCTTATAAATACAATTTGTTTTCTTTTATAGTCAAATTAAAAGGAAACCTGTTCTAATATCATTTCCAATGCCAGTAGGAAAAATGCAAAATCTCTAAGTGCAGTAGATCATTTTTGGATACTACTCTTCCCATTCACTTTATCCAGAACTCTTGTTTTAGTTGGATAATGAACTTGTTTGTTGGAACTTCTTTGCTTAGCTAGTTGACACCATGCACTGAACCACCAGCCTCACTCTGTTGGCTTAGTGGTAGAGAAGCTTTGAAAGCTTTAGACTGAAACAAAATTAATTATCATTTGGAAATAATGGATGATTGGATGACAGGTCAAAACAAATGACTGCCTTCAACAACTTTCTCCACTATTTCACCAATGTGGCTGGCTTAGTTGTGCATTTGGACTTTCAAAAGATGTTTGATAAAAGTCATAAGGAGTAGACTTGTTGGAAAGAGTGAAATTTATGTAATTAAAGGGGAAGAGGCATGCTGGATACAAAATTGACTTACAGAAAGCAGATAGTAGGGATGAATGATTAATTGTTTTTCAGACTGGACGAAAGTATATGATTCATATGTTGACCACTGTTCTGGATATGTTGATGACCTAGAATTAGGTATGATGCACATAATTTCAATGTTTGCAACTCATATGAAACTTGGAATTGTCAAAAAAGGAGCATTGCAGGAGTATATGGGCTAATGAAATAAGGATTACATTTGAGGTTTAATGCAGAGAACTGTAAAGTGATACATTTTGGCAGGTAGATGCAGATGAAGCAGCCTGAATTAATTGATATAATTTCAAAGAGGGTGTAAGAGTAGAGAGACCTGAGAATATGTATGTACAAATCATTGAAGGTGGCAGGACAAGTTGAGAAGGCTGTAAGGAAAGATTATTGATTATGAGGGTTTTATACATATAAATATCTTATGCATAATCTTTTGGGCTCCATCTGGAATTTATTGTCCAGTTCTGCACACCATAATTCAGAAAGGATGACAACTTCTAGGCAAATTTGCAGTGGATATTTCCTGGAATGATACCAGAGGTACAGGATTTTAATTAAGTGGAGAGATGAGAGTATTTTTGGACTGCTTTTCCGAGAAAGTGAAGTGGAGATTTTATGAAGGTATTCAGAATAGTGAAGGGTTTTGATAAAGTAAATAAAGAGAAACTACAATGTGTAGTTTATGGAGTAGTAGCTTTACTGACATCGATTTAAGATAATTAGCAAAATAATCAAGCAAAGTGTGAATTTTTCTTAACAAAACAGTATATGATCTGAAGTGCGCTGCCTGAAATGATGGTGGCAGCATTTTCAAGAATAACCTTTGAGAGGAAAATTGGATAAAAACTTAAAAAGAATCACAAGAGCATGTGAATGAAGGGGAGAGTGAAATGAATTGGATAGCTTTCAAATAACCAGGCGTTATGGATGAATGGTGTCTTTCTGTGCTGAATTATTTTGTGTGATATCACATCTTTTCAACTTTGTACTTGTGTTTTAACAGTTGAAATAAACTGAGGATTATATCTAAATCAGATTATTGAATACAAACACTACACTACAATTTGAAAACTTTGACTCTCTTAAATTGAGTATGTCATACTTTTAAAATTGCTACCAAGAGGTTCTTGAAGTAACTGGCACCAAATATGATGTTTTCTCTGGGCTGCATGTTGTCAATCACAGAGGGTTAAACTGAACTGCATGTTGCTTTAAGTTGTGTCATATTTGATAAGTTGTGTTAAACTGCTTGTAGCATTCACTGAGATTTACAACTTCAAAGCTGAATAGTGAAATATGACATAGAATGGAATACAATTCTAAAGGGGGTGTATATTTATGGTGGAGGTATGCTCAGTTTTACACAGATCTGTGAAGTGATAGGACTAATAAAGCGTATTCCTTGACTTCATTAATAGGAGCAGAGAATACAAGAGCGGGGAGTTGAAGTTGAACTTGTACATGTCATTTGTTAGACCTCAGTTGGATGACAGGAAAGATGTGAATACGTTGGAGATAGTACAGAAGCGATGGACAAGAATGTTTCCAGGAATGAGAAACTTCAGTTATGAGGATAGATTGAAGATATTAGGACTGTGGTCCTTGGAAATAAGAAGGCTGAGAGGAGATTTGAATGAGGTTTTTCAAAATCATGAGTGGGCTGGATAGAGTAGATGATGAGAAACAGTTCATGCTCTTAAAAGAAAAAGAATAGGTGGCATAGATTTGGAATGATATGCAAAAGAAGCAAGGGTCATGCGAGAAAAAAACTTTTTTTCAAAAAGCAAATGCTTTGCCAGAAATATGGTGGAGGCAGGTTCAATAATGGCATTCAAGAGGACATTGGATTATTATTTGTATAAAATGGTGTGTAATGATATGGGGAAAAGGCAGTGGACTGACACTAGGTAATACAACCAGTGCAGGCACAATGGGTTGAGTAGCCTCCTTGAGTTCCACAACAATTCTGCGATTCTGTAAATCGAAACAAAAGTCAATTAAGTCTAACTAGAATTTCCCTCACCATGATAATTTAGAAGAATCACTTGGAAGGGTTTAAGTCTTACTTCCTGGAACGCCAAATAAAACATGATACTATCTATAGAATCTAAAGGTTAGATTGTTCCATTCCTTAAATTTTGACTGAACTCTGATTTTGGGGTGGTGAAGGATTGAAAACATGGAAACTATGAAATAAAAACTGAGCAACTAGCATATTATAAACATTCAGGACATTGTCTGCAGTTTTTCAGAGGAATTTCTCTCTTTGCTTCGAATGAGGGTGCATATGGTCTTTAACCTGTAGAACTAAAGGTGCGTTACTTTGAGGTTGTAGACATACTCGCTGAGTTGGTGGGTTTGGTTGCAAATGTTTCATTACCCTGCTAGGTAACATTGTCAGTGCGCCTCCAGTGAAATGTTGGTGTTCACTCCCGCTTATTATTTATATGCCTCGGTTTGTTGGGGTGTTTGGTACCATTTCCAGTTCTGTTTCTCAGTGGTTTGTACACCAGGTCTAATTCAATGTGTTTGTTGGTGGAGTTCTGGTTAGAATGCCAGTGTAATATACAAAATGCCATGCAAGGACTGTGAGAAACATGACATCGGCCAAACCGGAAGGAAATTGACAATATGTATATATGAACACCAACTAGCCACCAAGAGACATGACCAATTCTCACTGGCCTCACTACACACGGACAGCGAGGGACACAAATTCGACTGGGACACCACAGCCATTATCGCACAAGCTAAACAAAGACACGCCAGGGAATTCCTGGAGGCCTGGTAATCTAACCGGAACTCCATCAACAACTATATTGAATTAAACCCGGTGTACTACCTCTGAGAAACAGAACCGGAAATGGTACCAAACATCCCAACAAACTGAGGCATATAAATAACAAGTGGAACAGAACACCGACGCTTCACTGGAGGCGCGCTGACAGTACCTAGCAGGGTGATGAAATGTTTGCAACCAAACCCACTGGCTCGGTGAGCATGTCTACAACCTCATCCACAACCCAAGCTACAAATCTTCTCGAAAACTTTAAAGTGCCTTATTTTATTGTACAATATTTGCAGCGAGTGGTACTACAAAATGTAATTCAAAACGTTTATAATATAATTGATTGGACATAATAGCTTATCTTGAATATTTTTAGAGTCATAGTCATAGATGTACAGCACGAAAATGGATCCTTCGGTCCAACTTGTCCATTTGTTGGGATTGTACTATAGGCCCCCCAGTAGTAAGAGGAAAATTGTGAATCAAAAATGTAGGGAGATCTCAGACATGTAACAATGGGGGATTTTAATTTTCTAGACATTGACTGGGGTTACCATCGTGTTAAATGTTTGGGTAGTGAATAATTTGTCAAACGTGTTCAA